TCTCTTTGTGTTTTATTTTGAACAGTTTCTGTTGCTGTGTCTTTAAGTTCACTAATCTTTTCTTCTGTAGTTTCTGTCCTGTGGTTAATCCCATCAGGTGTATTATTCACCTCAGACGTTGTAGTTTTCATCTCTAGGAGTTTGATTTAGGTCTTTTTATGTCTGTATTTTCTGTGTGTGGGTGTTGAGAGATGTCCTCTGCAGTCCCCAGGCTTCTGTCTGTGTGTATTTTGCTGCACTCTGGTACTCTGCCCTGTGCACCCCGGCCACCTTGGTTTCCCTGGACTCTCCACTCAGAGAGGCTGCCACACCTGCCTGTTTCCCCACTCTGCACAAGGCCTGGGTGTGAGCTGTTGCCTTGGTTTTAATATTCTGTTCAAGGAAGGGGTAAATGGCCTTTGAAGGCAAATGCAGAGCGTGGCAATAGGGAAGCGGCCCCCAGAGTGCAATGTGACTGCACTGAGTGCATCCGAGAGTGCAGGTGCTGCCTGGGCCAGCGGGCTGATGGCTCAGCATATGGGTCCAGAATCCGGGTCAGCTTGTGTCTAAACATGTTCTAAAGATGCATGTCCTAAGCCACTTTGATTTTGGTGGCCTGCAACATCCGTGTGTCATGAATCATCAAGTGCAGTATACAGGGGGAAATATGTGCATTTAATGCCCAGTTATCCAAGCATCTTGTAAAAAACTGTCAACTTTGCAAAATGAGCCCATAATTACAGACGAGATAGTTTAAATATAGTGAGAAAACATGTACGTGCACTTGTTTAAAAGGAGGGTTTCCTGTTACGTGGGTGTCGTGCATGCAAAGCCGTGTGGCCTGAATGTGCCCGAGCTCTTGGGAGCGAGTGCAGGGCGTGAGCCCCAGAAGTGGCATGATCCACTGAGGAGCAGCCCACACGTAGACAACTTTGTAGGAACCTGGATTCATCCCAGAAGTGGCTCACCCATCTGTCTACCAGCTGCCAAGGTTTCTACCTCTGTTAGCCCCACAGTGAGCCAGGACATACTTGACAGGAAGTCTTGTGGCTTTAGGTTTCTGTCAACCTCCCCCCTGCCCACCCCATCACAGACAAGCACATGCCTGTGAGTCATGTGCAGTTTCTCTGCACGCTCCTATCCTGGAGGCAGAGCAGAGCCATGGCAGGGGAGCCGCCTAATGCTGCCAGCCATGGCAGACACATGCTCAGCAGGCAGCATTCTCCCCAAGTGCCTGTTTCTGTGCCTGCGTCTGAGCACCCAGTGCTGTGCTTGGCATCCCCACCCCTCCCTGGGTGTGAGCTCAGGGTCCGTGTCACCTTCTTCTGTGTCTGCTGTTTCAGGGATCAGCAATGCAGAAGCGCGGCAGCCAGGGAAGGCGCCCAACTTCAGCGTCAACTGGACGGTAGGCGACTCCGCCATTGAGGTCATCAACGCCACGACGGGGAAGGATGAGCTGGGCCGCGCGTCCCGCCTGTGTAAGCACGCGTTGTACTGTCGCTGGATGCGTGTGCACGGCAAGGTACTGAGGTGCCCTCGCGGCCGATGCGCCGGCTCCACCTCCCCACAGCCTGTCCGTCTTCATACCTGAGTTTCTTTCAGTGGTTTCATCATCATACCATCATGCCCAACTTCCTAAAAAGTCATCATTTGCAACCTTTTTTGTTACTTGCTTAGAAGGGTGGCCCTGGCTCTTCAAATCTTAAAGCTGTCTCAAAGGCAGCTTTTTTCCTTTCCTGCCGCAGAATCTGAAACTCACCACCCTGGGGGCTGTATTCTTGGTGGAAACTTCTCTTGCTGCTCAGATGTTGAAAATCCTTATGAAAAAGGGAGGGCAGTCACGCCACTCTCACCCTGTCTGCTCAGAAGCACAAGTACTGCATTGGATTCTGTTATATCCTCTATGAAGATTTGTAAACCTTTTGTTTTAGACACAGGACCCTTTCTCCCCCCGAATAAAACTTCATACAGTGAGTCAGTATATTATTAGTTTTCATTCATTTTAGAGTCAAGTGTACAGCCTTTACTTCTCATGCAGCCAGCATGAAGGCTGGTGTGGGATGCAGGGGCAGGAGTCACGCACCTGCAGGCCTGTTCACACGGGCAGCACCCGTGCTGGCCACCACGTGAGTCTTAACATCTGCACAAGAGTGAGCCAGCCAGCCACATGAGGGGATGCCTCAGGGAACTCCAGTGTGGTAAAAGGTACAGAACACCAGTGGTGCTATTTTTTTTTTCCTTTTTGTCTTTTTTTCGTGACTGGCAACGGATTGCAACCCTCAGCGTCGTGCCCGTACCGGACCCTTTTTGTCTTTTTTCGTGACTGGCAACGGATTGCAACCCTCAGCGTCGCGCCCGTACCGGACCGGGACCGGCAACGGGATCGCTCCTTTTTGTCTTTTTTTCGTGACTGGCAACGGATTGCAACCCTCAGCGTCGTGCCCGTACCGGACCAGGACCGGCAACGGGATCGCAACCCTCGGTGTTGCGCCCGCACCTTGCTCAGCCAGTGAGCGGCCGGTCTGTACGTGGGATCCGAACCCTCGGCGGGAGCGCTGCCGCGCTCCCAAGTGGCGCACTGTAGCAGTGCGCCACCGGGCCGGCCCAGTGGTGCTATTTTTAATAGTTAAAAATGAAATTTGAATCAGCTGTTTGTGGTTGCCAGAAGCGTGTCTTCAGAACTTGCCTGTTTAACTGGTGAGGCGGCTCCTGGGAAATGATAGCCCAGCCAGTGGAAGAGACACCGCATGTGCTTGGGGAGATGTAATCTGAGACAGGAGCCGCCTTAACCCAGGTTGTTTCCCCAGAAGCCAGCGCAGTACTCAGTGCCATTTTCCAAACATCTTACTAGGTTTTATTTTCACCTGTTACCACTTCAACAGTCGTACTTGTTCTTTTATCCTTTTGCAGGTTCCCCCCCACTTACTACGCTCCAAGATTACTAAACCCAACACATACCATGAGTCCAAGCTGGCGGCGAAGGAGTACCAGGCTGCCAAGGCGCGTCTGTTCACAGCCTTCATCAAGGCAGGGCTGGGCGCCTGGGTGGAGAAGCCCACGGAGCAGGACCAGTTCTCACTCACGCCCTGACCTGGGCGGGTGCAAGGAGGGAGTGCAGGGGGCTGCTGGGCGCCCAGCCTTGGCCCCCAGGATCTACATCTGAGCTGGGGCCAGCGCACACCTTGGGGAGGGCACGGGGGTCATAGGGACCACTGAGCATCTGGTGTCGTCCTGGCATCTCACATCTGAGCCGGGCAGGTGGCAGGTGGGCAGGGCGTGCGGGTTCTGGGGTCTGGCATTGCCACCTGGCATCTCTGTCACAGTGTTTCCCTTTTTGATTATCCAGTGACTGCTTTCAACCTCAGTTTACGTTTAGAAATTGAGTTCTACTGAGTAGGGCTTCCTTAAATTTAGGAAAATAGAAATTACTTTGTGTGAAATTATTGAATAAATAATTTATTCAGAGCTAGGAATGTGGTTTACAAAATAAGTAATTATGTCAGATCACTTTTATGCCACATTATTTTAATTGCAGAAAAGCATTTATATGTGGATGAGGGTGAGAAAATAGAGGTAGGAGGTAGAAACCTAAAGAAAATCCTCATACGCATCTAAACTTAGGTATCCGTTCTCCAGGGCACTTCCACTATTAGTTTCACAAGTAGATGTTAACCATCTCTACCGGGAACAGACCCCAGCATGACGTGGCATGACCCTGATGCACATGCAGGTTCTGCAGAGTCATGACCCGGCCCAGTAGTCCTCAGCTGCCTCTAGAAGCTTCTATACCTCTTGTAGGATCAGATCATGGAAACTTTTCTTGGTTTCCTTCACATAATCGAGGATAAAACATTGTCCAGTAATACTACACTGGCCACTTGCTGGGTTTCTTAAACAGTATTTAGCTTGTGTGGACTGGAGGGAATCAGCCGGGGCCAGTGCCCAACACAGAGCAGACATCCCCTCTACCCCTGGCTGTGCACCCGTGGATGGGAAGGGCTGCCCCAAGATCTTCCCGGGGTGGGAGTAGAATTATTTAATAGATATTCATTCTCAGAAAATGCCACGTCGGGCTTGTGTTTAAATTGTTCCTTCCGGCTTTATCCAAGACATGTTTGAAAGACAAAAAGTAGTCAAGCTGAAAACCAGTGAGACAGTGCTGCTGGTGCAGTGGACCAGGCTGGTTGTTATGATGGGGAGAGCTTGGGTGCTGCTGGCATCTCATAGAGGACCCAGGGACATGTGCTCCCCACACGCACAGGATGGCCCTATGACCGCTAGCCAGCCCAGCAGGTCAGGAGCCCCATGGCTGAGGACCTGGTGTGGCCTGCCTTGGCCCAAGCTCAGAGATTTGCACCAGTTGCCTTGTTGTGTCTGCTCAGGATTAGAGTGGAGTCAGAGCAAAGTGCCCAGCACCCTCATGGCTCTGGAGGTTGCGCTGGGGCGGCTGTCACGGGGGCTGTGGGCAGAGACGGGTGCAGACCCCACCCCACAGTACACACCTGCCACAGCCAAGTCCAGGGTGTTGGTACCTCAGTGACATTGAGCTGTTCACCAGGGTATTTTGTGTCCTTTACGGGCTTAGAAAAACCAGAACAGGAGCAGAGTGGCCACCATCATTCCCAGGATCCCGGGAGCTCAGACCTCGAGAACTGGAGCATCATGGCTGTGTAGGCGTGTGCCTCTAGCCATCAAGACCTCCCTGTACGTGTCCATATGGATGCGTCACAGTGGTTCTTGTCCCGCGGGGCAGGAAGGGACACTCAGGGTTCATTGTTGGGGATGCAACCAGGTTCAGCAGAGTGGAAGTCTGCCCCACACAAGCCTTCCCTCTACTGAGGGGGTGGCTACGCCCTTAGACCGTCATAGCAGGGTCTCAGGCCCTACATGCCATGGGGGTCTTGTTGGGGTGAACAGGGCTGGAGTTTCATTGCACTTATGGAAGGAAAGGTATCTGGTGATGTCTCTGCCCTTCCCCAAAGCAGCCTCTTTTAAACATCTTGTGAGTCTGTGTGGCTTTATTTTTGTCCCTATAAATTATATTTTTTCTAATGGGGATTGATAGATGGATGTAGTTTTTAAAACAAGATGTGGATTTTGGTTGCAAAGTCCAGTGGAAAATATATTCCATATACACATACAAACTGTTCGGCATGTCTGTCTTTTCCCTCCTGTCAGGTTGATAGATGGATGTAGTTTTTAAAACAAGATGTGGATTTTGGTTGCAAAGTCCAGTGGAAATATATTCCATATACACATACAAACTGTTCGGCATGTCTGTCTTTTCCCTCCTGTCAGGTAATAACTGAAATGAGCGTGGCCTCCTCCACCCATAAATGAACGCCTTATCTGGTGGGTCCTGAGCAGGGCCTGGGACCACATGAGCCTCTCCCCGCTGGATGCGTGCGGCTGAGAGGGCAGGCCCAGCACAGGGTACACCACCGCCTGGGTCCTGGTGGAAGAAAGGCAGACGGCCCAGGAGTCCTGGGCGGGTGGGCAAGTGAGGAGGGCGGTGGCATGTGGGGAGCACCACCTCATCTAGGAATCACTTCCCTAGCCAGGGGCAAGAGGCCCCACACTGCTTCGGGGACAGGACAGCTTGAACAGCTCATCTGTAATCAAAAATAAAGAAAGCAAATAAATGCCCCCGCCGCCCCCGACAGACCAGGAAACCACTTCCTGCCGTCCTTCCCGGTGCTCATGGTGCCTCGATTGCACCTGAGCAGTGCCGCTGCTGCATCACTTTGCATCCAGTGTCCGTGATCTGCATTTTAGAGACTTAGAAAATTTGGCACAAATGGGAACTTGATTTTTTGAGAAAAATCTTAAATTTTGAGGAATTTTTGACACATGGGGAGTGGGAGGGTTTCTGTTCTGTTCTGACAGCTAAACCTCAAGTATTAATTCCAGAGATTTGATTTTTTGAGAAAAATCTTAAATTTTGAGGACTTTTTGACACGTGGGGAGTGGGAGGGTTTCTGTTCTGTTCTGACAGCTAAACCTCAAGTATTAATTCCAGAGAGACACTGTCCCTTGGGATGACTCGGGTCTTGCAGGTTGGAGGTCAGCATTGTGACAGAGTCTCAGGTGGGGTGGCGTTCTGTGATGTAAGCCAGGGCTCTTGCAGGCTGGGTCAGGGCCCAGGGACCGTCACAGGTCAGGGTTGTCGCAACCTCCTTCACCAGCCCTCATCCCAGCTCAGAGTATCAGAAGGTTTCACCTCTTCCAGCGAGGTATGCTGAAGAATTGCCATTTTGATTAAGTCTCCATTTAACTTCTCGTCGTCTTTTTCTCTTTTGGAGATATTTTTTGTAATTAAAAACAATTGTTTTAAAACGTACAAGCCAACATCATAAGGCATTGATTTCTCTGAGTTTGTTCTGGCAACTGTATTTGTCTCCAGGCTCTAGGTCACTGCCTTCTTTGTGAAGACAGAGCTGCTGCTCCTTGTGATCTCCAACAGCCACATGGAGGGTGGCAGCTCCGTCGCAGCACGTGCACAGATCTGAGGGCGGGCCTAGAGAAGCTGTGGGGAGCACACACCACCCCTTTTCTCAGAGTAAACACGTCAGTAGTTGAAACACAGATGGGTCTTTTTCACTTCTAAAATATTTTACACCAGAAATATCAGGTCTGCCCCCATCCTAAATTTGATCCAGCAAGAGAAATAAAATTAGCTGACTTCCCATCTCTAAATTCTGTGAAATTAGAGAATCTCTCAAAAGATTTTTTATCAACCCCAAACTATATGAATGGAAAGGGCAGAGTGTTTGTGTTCGTGTGTGGTGTCCTTGTCCCCTAACCTATCGAGTGACAATCTCCCTGTGGTGAGGAGGCTGGTGGCCGCTCAGCGCTGCCACACCAGGGTTCTGGTCTCCACGTGGTGCTGGGGAATGGCATAAGGGAGGCCTCTGCCCGCCAGGTGCCAGGGCAAGCCGAGGTGGATGGTGGGTCCGACTTGATGGTGACTCTTACAGTTCCACGTGAGAGCCCCACTCCTGCTTCTGGTGGCACCGTCTGTGCTCCCTCGTTTACTGTTTGGGGGACGAGTACCACGCCCCAAGAATGCTTGTCTTGGCCACAGCATAAGCTGATGGTGCGTAAGGAACGGATGGGCCGCTCTTCTAAACCTGAGCACGAGTGATGAGAAGCACAGTCTGTGGAATGTTAATGGAGTAAGCCCCTAAAGCCATTCGCTTTTCCAGGCTTTGGGTTATGTGCTTTTAATTTGATTTTAGAATCTGGACACTTTATATGAATGTAATTCAGCCAAGAAACTTGTTGCTAAGATACAATCCTTGGTGTTCTCTGTCTGTATATTTATATATATACCACACCTTACAGCCTGCATGAGCTTCCTCACCGAGACCAGCCGGGACTGAGCATGAGACGCTGTCATATGTAGACAAAGGAGTTGAGATGTTCTCAATAAAAAATAAAATGTTTCACTACTGTACTGTTGCCGAGATTTTCTTTTCCTTTCAAGTGGTTTCTGTCCTTGGCTCCACTAACAGGTCTGGGGGTCAGTCCTAGTTAGCAAAGCATGAAAAGCCATGGGCGATGCCACCTGCAGGAGCTGCCTGCCAGACTCCCTCTGGCCTTGTCACCTGCACGTGGTACGTTGACCCGGCTTGGGAGGTCTCTAGATTCCCCAGCCCCTTTGGATTGTTGGCTTCTTCCCCGTCTTCCTGGAGAGCACATGGGGCTCCACTCCCATAGCTGGTAGTGCTGAGGAAGGCTACACAGCTGCCCTGCTCTTGCCCGTGTATGAAAGATGGTGACACAGCCCATGTTACTGCTGAGCCTGTGTGAGGATGACGTGGGTGGGAGGACACAGGAGGACCTAGACGCAGCCACAGGTGCCCGCTGGATGGGGGGGTGTCTGGATGCTGTGAGACAGTGCGGGCACTAAGTTGCATGGAACTCTGTCGCTGTTGGACCCCTGTTTTGGAAGGGCATCCTGAGGAGCGGCAAATCGGCTGTGAGGCTGTGCTCTCACTCACGCTTCACGGTCACGACGAGCCACAGGCTGCGTGTGTGCGCACAGCACGTGCAGGGCCGGGGAGGTCTGGCCGTGGTCCATGCGTGAGGGGATTTGGAGTGATGTTTCTTTTCCTTTTTAAAAAAGTGTCCATTTCCTCATGTCTCTACACTTAGAAAAATGTTTTGGAAAATCAAAAGCACCATACAAATAAGAAGCAGCACTGTTATCGCCGAATAACTTGGTTCTCTTTTGCATCAATTTTGAACCTATGAGTATTTTATTTCTTTTCCCATGATAAAAGCAACATTAAAATGAAAATATGTTGCATTGAAAAAGGATAATTAAACTTCTGAGAAAAGAATGGAGGAAACCTCTGCTTGACGAGTTTACTTCTCAGAACAGTGCATCCCCATGAGTCGTCTCCTGTGGTGCACTGTGCGGAACGTCCGGTGCCATGCTCTGCGATAGCACTGAGGAAGCGTCCTGTATCTTATCAAGTAAGGAGACAATTTTGCTTTGTTTTTTAATATTGGGTAGTAATCTACAGAGCCTGACCTTAAATTGTGAGGTTCTAGAACTTTTATACAACAACAATGTACTGAGTGCCGACCCTGGTTCCAGTGCTTGGAACAGATCAGCGAGCACGCCTGCGAGCGCTCACACTCTCCTGCAGGGAGGAGAGAGGAGTGAGCATGCCGGCCTTCTCTGCACCACACAGTGCCTGGGAAGAAAAAGCAGGCGAGCGAGCCAGAGAGGCAGGTCCGTTTGAAGTCCTGGGGCTTGGTTGGGCCTCATGGAGAAGATGGGCAGGCCGACTGATGGTCTGTAAAAGCACACGCAGAGGGGACTGTGGAGGGGGCCTGACAAGGTGGGGTGCGGGTCCAGGTGTCAGAGCTGCTGCCGAAAGCTGAAGTTCCAGGAGTTTTGCAAGTTGAACACAATCATTATTTTAAATTGCATTATATAAACTTTCAATTAAGTTATATTAATAAATGCTCAAAACTCATCACTTCCTAATTATTTTGCTGCAGTTTGTGTTCCTGTGCACACACCACCCTTCCTAGTCTGCGGTCAGCAGCGGAGGCTTTCCACCGCACATTTGCAGGTGCCACAACTCAGGGCTTGGTTTATTGTGATTGTCTCCAGATCTAAGAAAGTGGAGGCGAAGACACAGATCACCCTCAGGAAGTAGCTACTGCTCTGTGAATGGCACAAAACATTGAGGAGGAGCTGTCCTTGCAGCATCTGAGAAGTAACGCCTGCATGGGCAGAGGGCTGTGTGTTGAACAAGGGACACTCTGACGCACACATGTCACTCCACCTTCACCTGGTCATAAGTGCACACACCCACCAACATACTTGTCGGAGCTGCCCCACTCATCAGTGCAGCCCTGTGCTGGCGGCAGACATAAGGCTTCAGAAAAACCAGCAGAAGCATTCTGTGAGGATCGACCCTGTGGGGGTTACGAAAGTGTTGTATAACTTATCAGTGTTTTAAATTGTGCACTGCATCCTTCATACCCATGACACTTACAGTAAGCTCAAGTTCACATGCACGTGCAGGCGTTGGGGAGGGGAAGCCTGTGGTTTAGTATTAACTAGCACACCACAGGTTCCCAGATGTCCTTGGAAAGAAAATCAGGACAGCGCAAAGGCCCTGTGCTGGTGAGGGGCTGCAAGTTTGCGGGGTTAATCTTCCCCCACCCCACCTGATCCCAGCATGAGGGCCCCTCCTCCTGCTGCAAAGGGGACACACCTGGGGCACAGAGTGTGAGCCAAGATGAATCCTCGTGAGCTTCTGGTGCCTGGCCCTGCCTGCCCTGGGCTCGCCTGCTTCTCCCCGCCCCTCAGCTCCCTGGGGCCAGTGGGAACAAGGCCTTGCCTTCCCCAAGCACAGTTCTTGGCCAAGTAAACAATACCCCCAGGGGAGAATGACTTCATGAGGAGAAATAAGACATGTGAAGAGTATAATCATTTGAAAATAAAAAAAACAATATTGAATTAGAGATTCCATTACAATATATTCTAAAATTTTAGAACAGGCAGTCCAAGAATTTAAAATTAATAAACATTTGAAAAGAGATAAGAAAACAACAGAGAACCAAGCAGAATTTGAAATAGTGAACACGATAGATGACTAAATAACGGAACACACTCACAACTGGGAGACCATATGGAGAAAGAAAGGGACAAAGAGAAAGAAAGCGTAAAAGCAATACTAAAATATTTGGGTGATAAAAGTAGGAGTGCCCACACCTGGCTAATAGGGTGTCCGTGGCCCATACCAGATGCCGTGAGACACACACACGGAAGCTGTCACAGATGACGAGATGAGGGAGACGCTCTTGGAGGGGAGGGAAGCTCTGTCAGTGGAGAGGAAGAGAAGGTTTAGGTGAAACAGTGTTGGGCAAGTGTTGATACTTGTTGGGGCTGGTACAGGAATTCATTACACCACTATTCTTTTACTTTGGTGTGTTTGGAAATTTTTCCTAAGTTTTAAAAAGTTCTAGCATAGACTTGAAAATACCATTTCTATGGTACTCTAAGTGCTCGTGGGATTTTTTTCTTTTTTACACAAAAGCAAAAACTTTTAATACTGTAAAATGTAAATTTTCCAAGTTAAAAAAATGAAGGAAATATCAGGAATATTTTCAAGTTGCAATCACTTCCTTGGCGAGTCGTTTTAAATGCATGTCTGTGGAGGCATCAGCTGAATCTTATGTTATTGCTCC